GTATTTATATCTTATAATAGCTAAGTACAGAAATTAAAAGATTAAAATAAATATTGTATCTTATATTTTATAATACATAATATAGGTATAGGTACAATAAACTAAATATTTATMATTTTCTTTTTAATAACATAACTATTGTTTAAAGTTTAGTATATATTTAAAGAAAACATTTTAAATACAAAATAATAATTATTATTTTAAAGAATAGGTAGGTCCCTAACAATTAAATCATKATAATTTTATTCTAGAAAAATATTATTGAATGTAACACAAACAAAATATATAATTCATATAAACAAAACAAAGATTGACTAGTTTGATTTTGGTAAAGTGGAAAAAATATTACTTATCTTAAGCAAAAAAAAACCCACATTTAAGTTACACAAAAAATAAATAAATAATATATATATATATTATATAAAGAACATAAATTGTACATTTGGAAACAAAACTTGTATATTACATGTGGACAAACTTGTAAATTGTAAAAAATAAATGGTAATTTAAATATTTGTTTTAAATTTAACTAATAATGGAACATTAAACATGGAATGTTTTTGTTAATACTGATTGAAGAGAACGTATGGAAGAAATCAAACGTTTGGCAACGTACGTCCTGCGTCCATTAGAAATTTGTGCTTTAGCATGCCAATACGTATGCGATTGCCCGACACAGACTTGGATCTCTCTGTCATGTCACTACATCTAAAAATATATAACATAATTGTTTTTTTAATAATATATGATAAATATTGGAATTTTTTTAGACATAATAATAAAACAATCAATAGGTTGTTCTTTATAGTATTATTTTTTTTCATCACAATAAAAATTTTCTGATCTTAAGTTTTGGATAAAAATGTTAAAAATTAAGTTATACAATTATCATAGATGATATATACTACAATGACTTTGCATGTTATTTTATGGATGTAATCTTTTTATTTTTGTAGATTGATCTTGATGCCATGCTATCATTGTTTCAAGTAGCATAAAGAAAGTATATTGTACTTTAATTACATCATTAAAAATTTGAAATATTACATTTTTTCTTTTAAAAATACATATTCAATAATTTTGAGAAATAAAAGATTTTCTTCTATTATATTGTAATAATTATTTAATTTGTACATTTTAAAATATATTTGAAATCAATGAAAAGTATAAAAACTTTACTACAGTAGGGTATGTAAATATCTATATAATTTCAATAATATTTTAATAATTCATAAAAACTTGCAATTAACAAATTTAAATTCAATCCTTACTAATTTTTATGTTAAAACGATTGACTCCTATATATATATGTAAAAAAAAATTATAACAGTATATTTTTTATTTAAAATAAATTTTAGTAAACTGATTGTTAATTAATTATTGGGTAGAAAAGTTTAGTGTCTAGAGTCACTGTAATGGATGTGTTAAATTTGAACTCAATTCAATTCAATAATATAAAACAATTGTATATGAATAATGACCCTGAACCATTATAATGGTTAATAATTTTTATCACTTGTCATGACAATATCACCACAAGAACATAATTAATATCTTATTAGTCATGAACACAAATTACATAAAAATTGAATGATTACATCACCTAAATAGAGCATACTGGTACAATTTACCATTATTTAAATTCAAAATGTATCTTGTCTTTAAAAATTGAGAAATAAAAAATAGGTACTAACATGCACAAGTGATATAAATTTTAACTACTTGTTAATGKTTATATGAAAAAATGGACATATAACACTAATAAATTAATACAGATTAATAAARCATATAAAACATAGGCTTGAAATATTAAATTAAGGAAGGTAATAAATGGTGGCATRTCATCACATATAATAGAATATTTAAATAATTGCCACAAATTCTTTATTCATTAATATTATTAAAATAAAACATTAAAACCCTATAATTAAACTACCTTCATGCTTATGTTAGAGTAGGTGCCAGATGGTCAAAGCATTATTATAGACAAGCAGAAATAATCGAATGCACACATTGCAAATAAACAAAACACCACGTCTAGTTTATCTACCTTTCCCAACGCGAAGCTATTGTTGACAGATATCACGTCATTGTTTGCATAAACAAATAACATATATTTCACGTGTAAATAGTCATATTTTAAAACAATATATTATAGGTATATACATTAATTAGAAAAACTTGTTACCTTATTACAGGACGACCATTTGCTTGTCCTTCTCTATCGAATGTGCATAACGTTGGAGCTGTGGTCGACCGACACTTGAATAAAAAAATCAAATTACATATATATTTAGGGTGTTATAACATGTATGCTCACTGCTCTTCTTCATTTTTTTTTTTTTTTTTTTTTTTTTTAATAATGACATTTATTCAGCTTCTAATTTTTAGAGTTTTTTAATAAACTTAAAGACCAAAAATTCAAATTCTAGATTTTTATTATACTTTAGAAATATCCTGTGGTAATACAAAGTTGTTTTTTAATTGAGAACTAGGTATCTATTGTATATATCTGTTGAAAACCCGATTGAACYGATTACAGCAATACCTCATTCAAAAATCAAAAGTTTGACAGTTATTAAAATGTTTATATATACTAAGGAAAATAGTTAATCAAATGGTTTTACAAAAATATATAATAGATACAATATTATTGAATCACCATTTATTAAAATTAAAAACATTGATTTATACTAATTATTAAAAGGTTCTATCCACTATTATCCATGTATCACACCATATATTGTGATTCAAACCCATTATCGTCGATCTATTATCATATCCTAAGTGCAAATATTAAATAAATATTCTGAAAATCAAAAATTAAAAACTGCATCATAGAAAAAAAGGGGTGAGCATCATAGTAAATCGTCTGTATAATCATTTTTATGTTTACATACTCTGTCTGTTTGAGTGGCAGCATTTCGGGTTTCTATTGTTGTTATTGATGGCCGTGGTCGTTGAGCTATCTGTTCGTTGAGCATTTGAATAGTACGATCCTTCTGTTCCATTTGTTGTGCCATATAAGTTATCTGAAACGGATGATCCGCAACTCAGCTCCTGATCAAGGAAAATGCATACTTGTCTCCGAAACGCAGTGGGATATTTATAAATACATATTTCCCTCATATTTAAATTGTTTAGCATTAAAATAATCATGCAATTCATGCTTTTATCTAAGTATTTTCTATTTAATGAGATGTTTTAAAATGAAAAACAAGACACATTTTGAATTTATTGATCAACATTTAAAACAATGACTAATTAGTTTGAAAGTAAATGGAGACATGTACCTATCTAATATGAATAATATAAAAGAATTTAATTAACCTGTTGTTTCAAATCCAAGATTTGATTCTCGTAACAGCAATGAACTTCCTGGTCTTCTGGGTAGGTCATGTCTTGCTTGTCCTAGAATTATAAACAAATCACCTTCCATAAGAATATGATAAAATAAAATATAGTGAATGTCGAATGATGATMCTTAAATAATTCAGTTAAAGGACATAAGATTAATTGTTTATCAACCTTGATAAATGGCTATAAATAAAAATCTTAAAATAGGCCTTGGATTTTGGAACGGCCAGTGATGTATTTATTATTTCTTTTAAATAGAAGTAATCTATTTATAAAATCTATTTTTAAAATTGTTTTTATTTAAACCAAAATTTGTTAATTGGATATATTATTGTAATGGTCAATCGCTATTTTATGTATAATCATTATCAAAGCTTAAAGGCTTGTAAATAATTAAAAATATTATTAAAATTACCTCTATTAGAGCACGGTTTAGTTCGAATAGCATGTTCTTGATACTCGCTATGTCGTCTGTTACCTCTCGAAACCGATCGAAGCTCATTAATACATCCCCATTGCTGCCCTAATAACCACTTAAAAATTACTTAAAATTGTCAACACCGCCCAGGAATTAAAATTTAATCTCCTACTTACTTTGGATTCCGTTTCATCTTTGACTGGAACTATATCGTCTTTGAGTGAACTACTACTGTTTCTAAAATGTAACAAAAAAATTATAAATTTGTATTTTCATGTAATAGGCATATTATTAAATTTAAACATTATATGTTATCCTGTTTTCGTTTATATATTTCATTTTACATTTATTAGCTTTAATCTAATTTTACCTTTTAAACACTCGTTTAGACCTGTTAAATGCTTTTATCATTTCGAAATTTTAACACGTTTAATATTAATTGTGCATAGAGTTCTTTTTATTCTAATCTTATTTCGATGTTTTAGCGAAATGGCTAAAAAGATGCACGTAAGGAGAAAGGTTTGATCCTGATACCTGATTAAAAATTGAGAAAAAATAAGTGACGGGAAAACAGACTACACAGTGTATGGCTAACCGGTTTAATGACTCAGATGCAGCCATGCAGGCAGATATGGTGGAACACTCAACACTACTAGGTAGGTACGTTTACGTTATACGACCAAGGTCATTAACATTACCTCTCTTTATTCATATACAACAATGAAGTATTTTTTCCCCTACCAAATATCATCAATTTTTTTATCACTTGACCCATGTGCACAACTTACTGTACTACACTTATTAGGTCTACTGTGTATGTCTGTGCAATGTGTGTACGCTACACATTACTACACCTCTACACGGTACGCGGTTGTTATGTAATTTTATAAATATTGGATATAAGATAGTATATTCTAAAATCAATGGTATAACATACGTTATGTAATCTACCCAAATGCATAATACTAATTACTATTCAATACCTACCTTGGAGACGACAAAGATTTCCATTCATTAAATGTGTTTTGTTTGGTACACTCTAATGTTTTCATTAGGTCTTCATTATCGGGATCGGCCAGTTTATCATCAGTTTGATCATAGTCTACATCAAGCATCAGGTCGTCAGAGTTGAGACTGTCACTTAAGGACCCATCAGCACTTAGTGATCTTCTCAAGGATTTGGCTATATTTGGGAAAGTCGCGCAAATACATTTTAAATTACTATTGAACTTAATATGCTGTACTATTATTAAAAGTAAATAAATCTATAAATAATTACATTTTTTGTTACAACTGGAATGGTTTCCAAGTCGAAATATAGCATCATCAATATCTTCTGCATTGCAAGACTCTGATGGAGGCCCACTAAACATTAGTGCTGGTTGATCAGCTATCTCATCATCGAAAAAATCTCTGGTGTCAGATGAAAATGAACCAGATTTGGAGATATTACATCGCATAATTGGTGACATAGAATCACGTTTATCATTATTTGTAGATTCTGTTAGGGTAAATAGATTTTTACTAATTTTATGTGCATTACACAAAACATAAGACATATGAAAAATACTTTTTTTAAACTGCACTCAAAACCAATAGTTCAAACAAACTTACCAGAATAATTTTAAAATTTTATTTTCTAAACACTGTCATGAAACATTAATTATAAAATTATTTTTTACCAATAATCCTTACTACCCTTCATATATTTTTCATTGTGCCTGATAACAAAGGAACTGCCATCAGCAGTATCAAGTAGAATAAAAAAATGTGTTTCCATCCCTGTTTCTGGTAGATATTAGGTTTTCRTGAATACTAATAAATTACTTTAATAATTAGTTATAAATATAAATTGAAAAAAATAACATGAACACAAATGTTGAGAAATTAAAATAACATTTTTTCTACAGAAATAATGCTGGAAAATATAAATATTACTATAAAAAAATATTAGAATTAAGGTTATCACTTAAAAAATAAACTTTTTTTTTAAATATTAGCTATTTGATATAATATTAATGACTAGTTAATTACAAAAATGTATACAAATTTTAAAATAGGAATARAAATTATTCTATTGTGTGACTTTAAGAATTATTCTTTGTTTATATTTATATTGTTTTAAATTTTCATAAATATTTGTCCCTCAGATACTTTTTTCATTAGAATTTAATATTATACCTGTTTTACTATGTGGAAATTCAGCTGACTCAGATTCAGTGGGACTTAAGCATTCATCATCTGGTGATGTTTCATCCTCAATTCTTACTGTAGAAGACATAGCAGCTAATGTGGCAAAAGTTGGGTCTTCGATATTTAATAATACATCACGTAATGATACAGACATATCAACATTGGCTATGAAAAAAACAAATCATTAAGTCAATAATAAGAATTTGAGACTATATTTATTTAGTTCTACATAATTTTAAGCAAATACCAAATTTATTATCAATGACATTTATTTTATCTTTCATTTCTGTGAATTCTTCTACTGCTAATGCTTCACCAGGTCCATATTCTTCATCACTACATGTAGTATCTTTTTTATCAAATTGTTCAGTCTTTTCTTTTATAAACTCTTCTCTATTAAAAATACAAATTACATTTTTACTATTTAGTAGTATGGTTAACATTTAAAAATCAAGATACACAACATATATTTCTAAATCCACTGCCCCGCCCAAAAAATTGAATAAAATAAAATTATTTATGAAGAATTCATATAATTAATAAACTAAAATATATTAAGTCAGTCATCATACAATTGGGTATAATTAACAGACCAAAAAATGCTATTAGTTGCAGATTTTTCCAAGTGATTGATATTCRATATTGTAACATAGCTATTAAAATTCATTTAGGTTCATGAAGTATGGGCATCAATCATAAATTCACTGTGCACGATCATTAGTAAAAGCTGTCAGCAAATACTTAGTCCCCTCTTGTCAACACAAATTACACAGTAGTTCTGAACACATTCARATTAATACCAAGATATACAGGGTGTCCCACGGAGATCTGACAAATTAAATAACTTTAGTTCTAATCAATATTTTTAAAAAATGTCTTTTAAATATAATTCATAGACACTTCCCTACATTATTTTTTTCTGAAAATTCAATATATCCAATTTTTAAATTTGATTTTTAGAAAAATTTATATGGTAAAAACACTTATTTTAGTCAAATGGCTGATTTTTTACAATTTTTTTTAATATCAATATTTACATTGAGTAAATTACAATATAGTTTATGTTAGAAACATTTTTATTTCAAATAATATTTTATAGGTTCATGTTAAAATCTAATTATTTTTTTATTGTATCTACTATTTTATTATGATAACATAAAACTTTATATTATTTGAAATTAAAATGTTTCTAACATGAACTAGATCGTAATTTACTCAACGAAAATATTTATATTCAAAAATTTTTTAAAAAAATCAGCCATTTTACTTAAATAAGTGTTTTTACCATATACATTTTTCTGAAAATAAGATTAAAAAATTGGCTATATTGAGTATTTTGAGAAAAAAAATTGTTAATTTTTAATTTTCAGAAATAAAAATTAAAAAATGTAGCGCAAGACGTGTCTATGAATTATATTTAAAAGACATTTTTTTTAAATATTGATTAGAACTAAAGTTGTGACATTTGTCAAATCTCCGTGGGACACCCTGTGTTTTGATTAAATCCCATACTACGTAGCTTATCTTATTGACTATTTTTATAAATACTTATAATATTAAAATAGTTAGGGAAATTAAAAAAAATAATTGATTTGAAATTCAAAAATATTTCTGATTAACAGTTTATTTTGTTTTTAATGACAAGTGAGGGAGTAAATTATGACTTCCAAGAAATGGGGTAAAATATTTCTGCCCCACTTCCACCTAACACAAATGTCTCTTATTTACTTTGACCAGTGCTCGACTTGACAAAATTAAAGTAGGGGGACTCTGTTAACTTTTAAAAAAAGAGCGTCCCCACCACTAGTTTAACGTTACAAACCCCACACCCCCTAATACACCTCTTTAAATCATACAGGAAATATTTATGAATAATTMAATTTAAAAAAAAAAAAATATGTAAATATTATATTGTATATTATATTTTTAACTTGTAAAATAAAGTATAACAAACTCAAAAACAATTGAAACAAAACAAAAAAAATTATTTATTTAGGTTTGCTTATTTATATATGTTATCATTTATCACGTACATTTTGATAAAAATTAAAAATTCAGAATGATGATTTAGGGTCCCATGCGTTTCCCTTAAAGATATAAGTAGGGGTACGCTGAAATTTCTGAATAATTTGTTGGGGTACTCCGTCCCCCCTAAGTYGAGCACTGACTGACATCATCCACGGAATTAGTACTAAAACAAATTGAAGAAAACTAAAACCTAATAGCGATATAGCTTGTTATATAATTATAGCTTACTATAACCTACTCCCCATCCCCATCCCAACAAMAACAGCAACATTWTATTCATACTTTATATTAATATAGGTATTGTTATATTTGTTAATTTTAAGTAAAAAATATAATTATTTTTTCAAAAAGTCATGCCCATTTAAAATATGGAAATAAGGAAGGATTTCTTTCCTATCCCATTGACTGTGTTAGTACTTCCATTTATCAATACACTATTAATCTTTTTATGCCCCCCAATGCACAACATAGCACATTTTATAGCAAGATTATATCAATCTTGTGTTGTTGGTTTTAATATTTGAGTTAAATTTATTTATTATAAAACTTAGTTAATTTAAAACAAAAATGTGCGAACAAAGGATTTCTTACAATACTTCAATTTTTCTGTATTCTATGAATATTATTAAGTATATATTTTTTAATAGGTCAGTTTGATCAGTTTACTCTAATAATCAAATGGTTAAATAAAGTAAATTACACAAAACTGATTCTAATAAATACAAATTTGGTATGTTGTGCAATAGTGCATGGACCTAAAATAAAAATAAATAGTTTGCTGATATCCTCTTAAAATTAATGTTATAAACACAACATATTATTTACTTGTCATGTTTCTCTTCATAACTGCTTAAATCTGAATCATCATCAGATGATGTCAAATGTTTGGAAGATGAACTTGACACTTGTCTATTTAACATAAAAATTTTCAATGAAACATAAAAATTCAACTATTTTGTGAGTATATTAACTACTTACCTTAAATATTTATTAGTCCGTTCTCTAATTAAAGAACCTTTAGCATTTGAATTTATTGTTAGCCTCGATGGTCTATTAAAAGCAATTACTTCTGTAAATTCGACAGAGTCAGTTAACTTGCGAATGGTTACTCCTTGTTGCATTTGTTTAATTGCTTCATTCTTGAGTCTCATGTTAGTAGCTGTTTTGGCATTTTTATCAGGACTTTTGGATACTTGATATCTGATTGGTATTTGAGGCCTAGGCAAATGACTAGAGGTAACTCTGGATACAGCAATTTTTGTTCCAGTAGATAAAAGTTTAGGAATTTCCCTTTTTTGTGGTTCAGATTGACTTCTTCTTTCGACTTCTACTTTTTTTGTTGTTACTTGTCTTGTGGGTTGAACAAGTTTTGTTACTGGTTTACAGAATCCAAACCTATAAATTTTTTTTTTTTTAATTAGTCACTGAGAAAAAGCAATTCAATAATGAGGTAAGGTAACAAACCTGTTGGGAGAAGGTGTATTACTTTTAGGTATACTTCTTGAACATTTTTCTGTAGGTGTTGACATTGTTTTGGGTAACATTTTAGATTCAAAATTGTTTAACTTTTCAACAAATTGAATAGGAGCTGATATTGGTCTGATCTTATTGGTTTGTGTTGTCTTTTTGAACCCAAAAGATGATGCTAATCCTTTGGTTGCTGGTATCTGCTTTTTTTGGTATTGATTAGCCTAAAATAAAATACACTTAGCAATATTCCAACAGTACAACATTGAAGATAATTTAATATTATACGAGTGTGAGAAATATTATGCAATACATTGAAACACCATATGGTCATGGATGTGTATAATATAGGCATGAGTTATTGTAAACATGAGGCCATTCCCGTTCCCTATGCCATAAGAGTGAATAAGATTAGCAAGTCACTGAGACACTGTCAATGACCTCAATTATGTTTTAATAAGTTAATAAGGGCATACTAAATATATTTGTAATTTATTAACAACAACCTAGGCTTGAAGAGGTATACCCAGTAAGGCAGTAAATTGTATAAATAAGGTAAGCGTAACTAGGTGAACTTGACTACACTATATGTTTATACCACTATAAAAATTTACTTTAGCTGAATTTTATAAAAACAATTAAACTTGTATTAGTTAAGAGCATCAACTGGATCAAGGACATAAGCACTGCATGTATCAGTGTTCAAATTTTATGGTTTAAAAAATAAGAAGAACATTACCTATTGTGTTTAATCAATACACTTTGGTATCTAAATTCGTTAACGTTTGTACTTAAAATTATTTGTTGTATAAATATATAATTAATAGCTATCATTGTTTTAAGTATATTTCTAAACACAAAAAATTTTTCTATGAACAAAAACTTTTTTTTTATTGAGTACCCACTAGCCACTAAATACATTTATTCTATTTTTAAAAGTAAGCAGAATGAATTAAACACAGTTACTCAAAAAGTCATGAATTTGTGTATTATTTTAAGAGGAGTTAACACATCCATTAAATTAAAAACCTGGTAAGTTCGAATATTTGAAAACGTTCTTTACTAATTTTGCATTTGTTCACGTTGGCTATCCGTCGATCCAAATTGTATACGTATTAATCGTATTATACACTAATTAGTTCATTATAATTGTCACTTTATTAGTAATACTAATTGTTAGTTATTACTGGGGTTATTACCTACAGTCTACACTATACAAAATTAGCGAATTCTTAATTATTTTGTACCTATACGGCTATACGAGATATACCTGTAGAAGTAATATAAACCCTGTATTCGAACTAATCTAACATTCATAAATATATCACATAAGTTATAAATATAATTCAGTATTGACAGTATATAGTTATATTTTATACTATAAAATTATAAGTTATTCAAAACCACTCCAAAATCTACTAAGCATATTAATTATGAACCTCATCGTTTAAAAAACACAAGAATAAAGTGTATTATTTTAACTGAGATCCGCAATTAAAATTAAATTTTTTTAAATTTCAAATTTAAATCAAAAATTCACGGTGTATTAGGATCGGTAAAATTATTTTCTCTTAAGAAAATATGCGTATAAATAATTGCTAGGCGTTGCGTACGAAACAAAACGAATACCCATTGACCAATACCGGAAATCAATGTTCCAATTGATTATTGTAATACTTTATACCAAAGTACCTTTCATATACCGGATAAAAAAACAATCTAAAAAGTAATAGTCACAACTCATACATCATAACAGAAATAATATTATATTCACAAATTGATGGCATCATTTTTAATTTTTATCTATTTTATTAATTGTAGTAAATTTGTAAATTTATATCAAATTACTAATCAAATAACATACGTACTACGCGTCTGGCGTCTACGAATCATTATATTATATAATTAACTATTAATCAAATTATCGTCCAATTTTCCAATGATTATATTTATAGATATAATTAATAAACGTAATATTATTAATCACAATATAGTAAACCTTGTATGCAATAATGATTTAATATTTATATTGTAAATACAAATTRATAATAATAATAATATATTGTATCAATATTCAATATAATATGTAAATTATATTTTGTTGTTCTCTACATTTCGTAAATCATAATAAAGCTAGTAACTATCCAGCTATAGTACATTTGGAAATTCAAAAGGTAATACGATTTTTGAGTGAGTTGCGAAATAATGATATTTTTAGATTTAAAAGTGAATAATTTAACCATCACAATTAATACATTAAGCGAATGAACATGATTAAATGACAGAAAAAATAACACGTGTGTCTAACAACTGACACCAKTATAAGTTACCACTCACCACAATATTATTTGTCAGTTGTCTTATTACTTTATTAGATAACGGTTTTCTTATATGTTATTAATATTTACAAATATGTAGACAGTATTATAAGGTTAAATGCYTAAACGTATTATTATAAAAAAAATTATTATTAATTGTGAATTGACATATGATCAAACTTAAAGGTAATAACATTACCTACTTTCTCATTGTTTTGTTACAATATTTTAATTCGTTGGCAAGTTATGATAAAATTTAACTGTGATATTTAATAATTTAATATACCTACTCATAACTCACATAAAAATTTAAATATTGTGAGAAGGGATAGATAATATACAATAGTTTGATAATAGGTCTACTCTATCTATTATTAAAGGTTATATCACAAAGTTAATATGACATACTAGTATTTATGATCAAGGTCATACGTTAATAAATTATAAGACGGAGACACCATGTGCGGGTGACAACTTCCTAAAATTATGTCAGCGGTTCAGCGCATCACTAATAAATTTTACATATGACCAACTGACAAATTTGGATCCCAATGATCCAGTAGAATTAWTWTTTTAATGTTTGATACTATGTTATAGTTAATTGACCAATAAGCAAACTTAAAATTAAGAATGTTATCTATATTGGAAGGTTGAATTTTTTTTATGTATTTCAATGTTTACGCAAGTTATGAGTATCTATATAACATATTACAATGGAAAAAATTCATACACAATAATACAATAGACGAGATAATATATTATACAAGTATATCATAGTATAGCGTAAAAAGCCAAAAACAATTATAATGTTCTTAACTTAAAGTTTTGATATTAGAACAATATGCATTTAAATTAAATCTTAACACAAAATTAGAAGAATGTAAATTCGGCATATACCTAGCGCTTATATCAGAGAAGGAAAACAAAAAAAGTTAATATATTTTACTATAGTTTAATGTATTCATAATCGTCACTATAGATATTAACTTCCCTTAAATGTTTACAGTATTTAATAGCTTGTTTAGAATTTTATTTTTTTAAATATATTATCAATATATTATTAAATATTACTGTACAGTATTATTATGTGGTTGGACTAGATTGTTCTCTTAGAATTTTAGAATTATTTAGTTCTGCTTATCTTTTATAATAACCCGAAATGTACAAAGATAAACACGGYACCTATGGTACGGTACTTATGGTATGTATTTATGAATAAATAATTCGCTATTGTATATTTTTTTTAAATAATCCTGGTAGATTCAATAATATTACCATTATTTTGCAGAGTTAATTTGTGATATTTTCTTGAAGTGTCTTGTCTAATTCAAGTCTGATAAGTACATAAACTAGGCAGCATGGTTTAACATTATGTATACATATTTACAACTTTAGTCATCAGCAATGCTATTTTTAGGGAATTTTAACACAATAATATACGAAAAACACAATGTCAAAGCTGTCAACAACTATTGATTTAATGTTCGAAAGTTATATTTTAAACTATCACGTATGATTCATTTGTCTTATTTTAACATGGGAGTTTACTATGCGCACGTTTATAAAATACTGCAGCACGCTTTGTTTAATATTATCAACTGACATAATATTGTATTAAAATGTTGTCATATTTATTTTATTAAGAACGTTTTTATGATGAAATACAATCATTTGAGTTAAAGATTCATTTAGCAATAAATAATGCATGCACATTAAAAATTAAAAGCAATGAAACAACGCGAAAATATACATCCACTGCAACCGAATACCTATTATGAAAGCCCCGGGGGTTGGTAAGGTGTTGTATATGCATGCAACTACTGGACATGCTCAGTAGATTGGATCAATACCGAGTACTAACCAAGCCAGGGAGGGTAGAAATGATCTCGAGAAAAGGATGATGTGTCATCATTATTTATTTTTATTTTCTGTTTCCCCTCAACAACGAAAAATGAAAATAAAACTGATAATATAAATAATTTCTGGATTTTTTTTTTATATTGTTAATATTAACATAATATGTATATATCTGTATATATACATAGCTGATTAGATTATTAGATAATGCCATGACGGATTAGTTGCAATATTTATTTGGTTTATTTATGTACCTGTAATTTAACTTATTTGGCTTTATTGCTTTAATAAACACTTGGAATTAATATGAAAGTCACCAAGGAAATTTTTTTATAGAAAAGAATAAACTCTTCTATTATATTATCACGTTGTTTTCTTCGCTTTCTATTGTTTAACAAGTTGACACATGTCTCCAGAACAAAAACCTTGAAATGTAATCTGTGAAATGTTAGTTAAAAGATAAAACTGAATATACTAGAATTTCAATGATTCATTCACAAAGAATAATGAAACCCATACAAATTGATATATTAATATACTTAAATAGGTATAATGTTTTGTATTCATATAAACATGCTTTATAACAATGGTTATAATTTATGAATTATCATAACTCAAACGATTTCAAAATATATAATGTTGTAACATGTAACATGATAAAATAAAACGAACAGGAAATTATTTTAAATAGCAATAGAATAATGTTGTTAATTAAAAATGCAAACATGTATCCATAAATCTATAYTTGGTAGGAACCTAATGAAATCTATTTTCTATTTTATTTGAATGAGAAATAAAAATCGTATATAATACCAAACCCTACCTAGTTTACATAAGTTGCAGAAGTTGTCAGTCAATATGAATAAGGCCCTGAATAAGGTATAGTGTGGTATAATCTTTTTTCATAATTCCTACATACCCTATAGTCCATATACCTATATAATATGGAATTTTATTGTACCGAACAACGTTATATTATATAGTAAGTTTTTGTGTAAAAATTATTGAGTGCATTTTAAAACATTCAAATGCATTGTGAATTTGTGACTTATAGGTAGTATCTTTTTTTCAAGAGACATAAAATAGTGTTATTACTCTTACATTGCTGGACGGTAGGAAGCTCATGATGGGTAGATTTTTTTTTTTGTGTACAGCTTTAGACGTACTTTTGCTCGAATTACATCCCATAAATATCCGGAGAATCACTCAAACTACAAACAAAAAAATAATTTAAAAAACATATATTAGTCGACATTTATCAACAACAATGACATKGGAGCGATTCCCAAYAATCATAAGAACAACTTGGACGTATTTTAGTATAATATAAATTATATAGGTATTGAAATAAAATAATTAAGACCAAGTACGGAATAGATTGCACACGGCGGCAGTACTCGCATAAAATTGAACTTGTACAATACTCCAGTATAATTTATATTTTTTTTTTATACTACGAAAWATCATTATAAGTACCTATTATAGTATTATATATGGTATGGAACGGCCGAGTAAATATGTAGTTATTATTATTTGTGACGGGTTTAATCGAATTATTAAGTGCGATGATAACAATAAAAATACGCACAACCGTTCAAGGTCTAAACGCAGGTTAATTTCGCTGTATCCGACACATTTCGGATCGTCCGCCACACTGCATATTATAATAAATAATAATAATCGATCGCGCACGTCTATTTTTGGTATTAATTCAAACCAGCGAGTGTTGGTAGACGACACGCACAACCGATTGTCGGGAGGAAAGAAACGACAGACAAACCGCCTCGACGGCCACTACCGTACTGACGTCTGACTCTGAGACTCTGACGTACTAAACTAAACTATACTATACTACTATAGTACTATAGTAGTAAGTATACAGTAACTACAAAGTACAAACTAGGAATGTCACCAAAACCAAATAATTAATGAATAGTAAATACAAATCGGAGTAGACGGATCGACTGCAGAGTGCAGACGTTCGGTGCGGCGGTGGGGTGACGATTACGCAAAAGAGGGAGTGCACGACTGCACTACTCTCTACTCTACTAAAGAAGTAAGTTCTAACTCCCGCCGCCGAGTACGCTGTGATCGGAATCGCGTCACCCCGTCAGGCACTGATGATAAATTGATTTCCGTTTTCCGACACGACGGGTTGTGCACTTGTGCGTTCTGCCGCGGAATTGTGGTTGTGCGGCGGGTCCCTTATCTCTTATCAGCGTTTAACAATATTATTTTCCTATGATAAAGTAATAATTGTTTTTCAATTTTCTTGCGAAGTTGCGAATTGCGATAAAAATTTTATATTAAAACTCCCAACTAAAATCAAAACCGTACCCACTAGTCACTACACGGTAACGTAAAACGTCATCAACACTATTCATTGTACTTAATACGTTTTAACTACTACTGCAACTGTTATAGGTAACTTTTAATCAATTTTACAAAGTGTAGTTTTTCATTGATACAAGATTTGCGCTTTCATTTCGAAAACTATTWACGAGTTTCAGTTATATTTATGAAAGAATCATATAAACATTTCTGTTTTACATTTATAGACCAAATTTCACCAATATGGACATGTTACGGAAAGCATTGAGTGGTCAAGACCGAGACAATGATAGTTCTACTGGAATATTGCCTGTAAGTAAATATTAAGCCTATTGTGATCAATATCATTATTTTGTGTTATTAATTTCAGTCAAAATAATATTACCATTGTTAATATATTTAACAATATCTTCACAATTTACTTTTAATAGCTATTATAGTATTTGCCATATTTTAGTTGAAAGAGGAATGTTGGACAAGAACATTAGCTTATTATCCAGTTATAAACATCTGTCGTCAGTTCGTCACTATGTTAATGGGTATTGAATCAAGTTTTAGAAAATCGACTTATAGAATGTCAACTTTCAGGAGAACAAAATTTATAAAATCAAGTTACAAAGTGGTTACCTTTACTGGGTATATTGTCCATAATATGATTGTATAATTATAATACAAGGAGCTAGTATAGTCACTTCACAAATACACAGTTATTATTTAGCTTTACCTTGCAGCATTCTGTATAATACCTGCATTTTTCTAAAACTTTTTATTGGATTGTGTTAATGCCTATGTAAAATCTTATCCACATTTATAATTTATATACAGGATGATTATTATTTTTTATGCTTTTACTATATAAATTGAAGACATCATTATTATCATTATTATTTTATTAGTATTTTACTATTTTGAATTAATGCATACGTTTAAATTTCAAATTCCAAATAAGGAATAAGGATATTATTTGAATGAATTTTATRATTAAAATKTAGTTTTGAATGAATAGTTAATTAGTTAGAGTATCTTAAGTTTAGATAAGTGGTGTTGTGAACTAATATTCTTCAGATTTATTACTCCTATGCTACTTTACTCCTAATTTTAATAATTTTCAAAATAATGAGTATCTTACTATCTTACATTACAAAATTTACCATGTATACAAATWTAGTAGTATTCATCTTACTCCAATATTTTCTATATTATATGTTATTTATAATAAAAAATATGTTAATTTTTATAAATCATTAAATGGTTTTTGGCTAATTGTAATCTAACTGAATTAGGTATGAAAATATTTGGAATCAAAAATGTTATAATTGAAATTGTAAATTATTGTTACTTATCATAGTTATCTATTATTATCAAATTATTGAGATTAACAATGTTTGATAAACCACAATAATTTGTTGATTTGGATTTATGTACCCGAATAATTCAGATACTATTAGATTTCATCTCTATTCATACTTTAAATTTAGTAATTTTTATATTATAGTTGGTTATAGGTAATTAAATAATGATTACAACATTAGTATTTAAGAATTTTTAATAATTATTAATTTATGATAGATATATTTATTGACTATTATTTTGATTTAACAACCTTTAATTACATAGTCCTTAAATTAATCTTAAATGCGATATATGTTTAGATAACTAACATGAATGGAATATTAAATGTGTTTGTAGAATGTTAATCAAATGTCGTCATTAGAATGGTCTACTCGTTTAAAAGGATTTATTGCCTGCTTTGTAATTKGAATTTTTTTTTCATTTTTGGGTGCCACAGCATTAGTATTACCTCTACATAGAAGAATGGCTGTATTTGGTATATTTTATACACTTGGAAATATTACATCACTTCTTAGGTAAAATATAATAAAATAAAATAAATATTAAAATTGTATAAATATGTATAATATGTATTTAATTTTTTTTCAGTACTTGTTTTTTGATGGGTCCAGTAAAACAAATTAAAAAAATGTTTTCGTCCTCTAGAGTTGTTGCAACCATTATTGCTCTTGCAATGATTGTCCTTACATTAGTTGCTGCAATTGGTGTAAGTTACTAATCAGAATTTTTTATTTTATTAATGGTTGAAGTTATCTTGTAATTTAATAATTTCAGATGAAAAACGCTCCACTAACTTTTCTTTGCATTATTTTTCAATTTTTGGCATTGACATGGTACTCTTTGTCTTACATACCTTACGCTAGAGATGCCATAAAAAGTTCGATGTCTACAATCATAGCATAATTCATTGTTTTGAAATTAATATATCTATTATATCCAATTTAATGATAAACTAAATTGTTATCATAGTAGATAGATTATGAAAATAGACACTATGATGATATCTATCGCTTTGTTAATCTGATTRTATTTCAGTATGTCAATTTGTTAAAATTTATACTTAATTATTTAGCATTTAAGCAACCTCAGTTATATGTCAAGTCATTATTTGTGTGTAGTTTATACACTGTTGTTATTAATATTATTATGGGTTTTTTTTAATACAAGCATTTATTGAAAACATAGTATTTACATAAACTGAATTAATTTAATATATTGCAAAATTTAATTAAGAAGCAATAACTAATAAAATAAACAATGTTAATGATACTGTTATTTATAATTAATGTCTTCCTATAGAATTTGATTTTGTTATTGTTAAAGAGAATTATTTCTATTTTTTTATAGCTAAATTATTGTAACCTGAATCTTTTTACGTACAAATGTCCTCTAAACTAAACTATGTCAATTATTATATTGTATTATGTCAATTATTTATGATATTATGTCAATTTAATTTGGTAATGTTATTAAGTTAATTTTAGTTGTAAGCAATAAAATATCTTATTTTTTTTTATATTTATGATTATGTTTTCTAGTTATGTAATTAATAAACATAAAATAGAATACATTTTTACTATATGTTAACTGTAATGATTAATCGGTAAATAAAATTTACATTTATAATTCCATGACTATTATTTCTAAATATATATAGAATCTATTGTCTATTTAGTCATGCTTCCTTCTATAAATGTTTCAATACAYGTTAAATTTTTTTAAATTTGTATAGATTACAAATCTTAAAATATTTATTCTAATCAAGTTGTAGCCATTATAGGTACTCTGAGTAATCGTTAGTTATCACTAGTCARTTGTTTAGGTATATAGAATATTTGCTTATGTAGGTTTTATTCTAAAGTGACTATATACCTACAACGATTTAAGATAAATGTTACACACTTATATATTATTATAATACGTAGCTCCCAKTTCTTTCAAAAATTATATATTTTAAACTAGTAGCCAAGTACTTGGTAGGAAATTGTCAAAAACTACTAACTTTTTTTCTAAGAAGTAGTCTATGCCTTTAATCGAGGACAACTGAGTATATATTTATACAGCTACAACAAACGAACAAGACGTTAGGTTGTTAAGTATAGCTCTGGTGACGCGTAATTTAACTGTTTTAAATATACGCGCGGTAAACAGCTGATATCATAATCCTGTAGCAAAACTGTTTAGTATTTACATATTTTGATAAGAAATAGTTTTTTAGGTTAATTCCATTATCACAGAATATGTTATGGAAAATAAGCCGGCCGCCGAGATATTCTCCCTCGATGCCATGCCAGTCTATAAATTATGTTTTAGTCCGTGGTTTATCAATGTTTGTAGTGTTTGTACCAATCAAAGCATAGGACGCGAAAATAGAGGGACGTAGTTGGACGCTGAAACAGTTAACAAATTTATAACTTATAGTATCTGTTACTTATTAAGTCACATCTTTCCGCTTTTCCAGATATTAATTTTTTTGTTAATAAATAGTTTTTTCTTTACGTCAAACATGTCTATCGGTGTTCCTATTAAAGTGTTGCACGAAGCAGAGGGGCACATCGTCACATGCGAAACGATTGATGGCGAAGTTTATCGTGGTAAGCTTATTGAAGCTGAAGACAACATGAACTGTCAGGTATTGTATTTTATAAAATTGGAATATTGAACTTTTAAGCATTTCATAATGTATTTATGATGAATTAGAAAATTGTAATGTCCTACAGGTATCGCATGTGACAGTTACGTATAGAGATGGACGTGTTGCCCAGATGGAGAATGTGTATGTGAGAGGATCTAAAGTGCGTTTCATTATACTACCGGACATGCTGCGAAATGCTCCTATGTTTAAAAGTAAAATGACTATGGGTGGAGCAGCAGGACGTGGGAAGAGTGGAATGATACGGTCATCGGGTATATATCAATTTTTATTTTTGTTGAGGAATTAATAACAATAGTTAATAATTATTATTATTATATTTTAGTTGGGCGAGGTAGGGGACGTGGAGGTCCTCCAATGGGTCGAGGAGGACCACCCATGGGACGCGGAGGTCCTCCAGCGGCTGGATCATGGAATCAAAGACGTTAATCTTATGAATAACATCAATTGTAAACATAATAC